TTTCCAGTTTGATACGGTAGTGAAGAAGTGCAAATTCCAAAAAGAAAAATTCCAATTTTTTTCTGGAAAGAGCAAAACTACATTATAGCTTCAGTGAGCTTTTCATGTATGATGCACACTACATTAATGCAGTACTGCTTCGAAGTCATAAAAGTTATAAGTACCACTCATCATTATAGACTGTTTGTCAGGAAGTTTGGTTCATAAAAGAGGAAAATGAAGCGGAAATCAATTAACACAGCATTTTTTGAAATGTTCTCAGAAATTTCAACATAGATGTGGCAAATCAATGACGAAACATGGCGTGCTAGCCCCGGTCACGCCTATGATCTCCTCATGGGTGGACAACAATCCTTCCGGAGTTCCTCTTCGACTTCTGGAATTCTTTAAAGTCTCCAGGATGATTTCTCAGGTTCTACCTCCTTATCCATTGGTCCATCGGATGTGTGCAAGATGTCCGGAATGTTTTTTTCATAAATGAAGAATATTGACTGAAATGTTTTATTAGCAATCTTGGGATCAGCTCATTTCACATGGTTCCCTCATATAGCCTATATGATAACGAAAGGCCACTCTTGTGGAAACCAAATTCCGTCCGCTTTGTTAGTGTTTGGAATCTGTATGCCTACAGTTTTCCATCCCTTTCCGATTCGTTTCGTCATTCTGATCAATTCGTTTAATTATTTCAATCGCTTCGCCTAGCCTCTCGGAACGAACACTCCTAAAGCAACCTCCAAACTATCCAGCCCTCCGGAGTCGTTCAGCTGGTATCAAATCGTGAGGGAGGATAAATTCTCAGACTTGAATATGGGCTGACCACCGAAAACTTTTTTATGTATGTACATATGTCACATGCGCATTCAAACGTCAATACAATCCTGAAAGGAAGTCGAGTATGAGGCACACTCTTTTACCGTAAACCTTTGAACAATTAATACTTTACTTCAATCACTGAAATTCTCAATACTAGAGACAACCGAAAGGAAACCTTTGTCTGATCCCTGCAAAGGACGAAGGGAATGAAAGGAACAGTCAATTTCATCCTACAGAGGTTTCAAAAGCCTTTCAATGATGGTCATTCCCAAGCAAACCTTCTAGAAAGTAAGTAATGACACATTTTTTCATTTTTTTATCCATTTTTTTCTGGTTTACCCATCATTCAATTCATTCATTCAGATTGATTTGGACATTGGAAAAGTTTCAAAAGCTAAGCACATGAGCGCATTTTGGCATTGATAATCCCGTTCGTGTTATACGCTCCGTATTCGACAACCATTCAAAATCGTATCAGTGTTTGGAAGTGCATGTGGAACATACAGTAGATTAACGATTACGATAGCTAGCCGATGTACAAGCCTGTTCCTTTGCCCTCTCAGACGAGTTCGGTACCAATCAACCTTACCCAGAAAAAAAGGAAAGCTCGGTTTGCTCAATCGGGAGGGGTGCGATCTCCGGACCACGCATGTGATATGTAATGCGTCACTTGGCACTAAATCCGCCCTTTCTGACAGAGGATATGAAGCGGTTCCATGAAAAATCCAACTTCTATTCTCACCAATAGGCTTGCAGTACTACCTAAAACCCTGAAACCCGCTGCAGCAGACCGTGGGACAGTGGGACCCTACTGCAGGAAAACCCCTTCATGTTGCGCTTGAGAAAATTTGTGTCAACAATATGATCGACGACTTTATCGATGTTCATGGAACACAACTAGCAATGCTTTCGCGATTTTGCCAGAAGTTCAATTGTCGTCGTCGTCTTCTGAAATCAGTAAGTAATCGCTATAAGTAATAGACCTCTTTTCTTTTACCCATACAAGTCAGATTACCCGAAACCCATTCTCTTTACTGACCAGACCTCAAAGAATTGGGAAAACAATTTAAAAGTCTTACCAAGATCACGATGATGAAGCCTGCGTTGACGACGGACAACCTTATGATGATTATCATGATGATGTGCACTGTGGCCGTCGTGAGCATGAGGATCTTCGTTATCTTGGTAGTAATCCTCTTCACCATCATACCTACGGTTGCGGTGTTTATGATGGTGTTCGTGATGGTGTTCATGATGACTGTCTTCGTGACCATGACTGTCATCATGAGGATGCCAATGCAGTTCGTGATCATCATCTTGAGTTTTAACCTGATTTTTGTGAGGTTTCTGATCCTGCTGTCCCTTCCCATGGTCGTGGAGGTGTACAAGCCCTAGAATTCAACCAGAAACTTCCTATCTGAACCCAGGGACTTCAAAGAACTTATTACCATCATTACCGTGCTGTTCAACTTTGCCGTGACTGCCCAATCCACTGAAGTTGCGACCATCAATTTCTTCAACCTCCTTGCGTTCTAATCCATCCATCGTTTCGTTATCATGCGACTTTCCGTGCTTATCATCATTGGAACGATAATGGTATCCAAGCAATCCGTTTTTATTGGTAACTATAAGCAATCACATACAATCCCTTCAGATATCGCAGACTTGCCTACTTCCATGTCTCTACCTATGAGCGAGACCTCTCAAAGTTTCTTTTCTAATAAACCGCTGTTAACCATGCTCTCTGCTCTTAGTCTCTTCCTTCCACCTTATACATACGAATCCCTCTCTAACCAGGGAGGGGTAGTCTACTTATCTTGGAACTTTGAATTCAGACCCAGATAAATCGATAG